GAACTTCTGACCTCAGGTTATCTGTCCGCCTTGGCCTCCCAGAGTGCTGGGATTATAAGTATGAGCCACTGCACCTGGCCTCCTGCATAGCAACTTTTTTTGTTTGATGTAATCCCATTTGTCTATTTTTGCTTTAATCACTTGAGCTTTTGGGGTCAAATCTAAAAAACTGTAGCCGAGACCAATGTTGTGTAGCTCTTCCCCTGTTTTTTCTTTTAGGATTTTTATAGTTTCAGGTCTTACATTTAAGTCTTTAATTCATTTTGAGTTGGTTTTTGTATATGGTGTGAAGTAAGTGTCCAGTTTCATTGTTCTGTATGTGGATATTAAGTTTTACCAGCATTCTTTATTGAAGAGACTGCCTTTTTCCCCATAATGTGTTCTTGGTACCCTTTGTTGAAAATTGACTATAAATGCATGGATTAGTATCTGGGCTCTCTATTCTATTCCGTTAGTTGATGTGTCTATTTTTATGCCAGTGCCATGCTGTTTTAATTACCCTAGTTTTGTAATATATAGTTGGCTGGCCTTACATTTAGTTGGTTGGCCGCATCCACAGATTCAACCAACAACAAATCAAAAGCTGTGGATATGGAGGGCTGACTGTAAGTGTTCTCTGTCTACAGTTGGTTGAATCCGCAGATGCGGAACCTGTGGACACAGAAGGATGACTGTATATATGCCATATATAAGGGACTTTTGAGCATCTGTGAATTTGGTGTGTGTGGCAGATGGTCCTGGAACCAATCCCCCTTGGATACAGAGGGCCAGCTGTAGCTTGAAGTCAAATAGTGGGATACTTCTAGCTTTTTTCTTTTTGTTCAAGATTGCCTTGGCTGCTATTCGTTTTTTTTCTGGTTCCATATAAATTTTTAGGATTTTTCTGTTTCTGTGAAAAATGTCATTGGTGTTTTGATAGAGATTACATTGAGTCTTTATATCTCTTTGGGTAGCATGGACATTTAAACAATCTTAATTATTATAATCAATGAACATGGAATATCTTTTCATTTATTTGTCATCTTCAGTTTCTTTCATCAGCATTTGATAGTTTGTGGTGTATAGATCTTTCACCTCCTTGGTTAAATTTATTCCTAAGTATTTTATTTTTTGTAGCTATTTTATTTTTATTATTATTTTTCTCTTTTTGCCATTCTTGCAATGCTATAGCTATTTTAAATGGAATTAAAATTATTTTTCAGGTAGTTCATTGTTAGCATATAGAATCACTACCTATTTTTGTGTGTTGATTTTTATATCCTGTAACTTAACCCTATTTATTATTTCTTTTTTTTAAATTTTTTTTGCCTTGATGGATACAGCATATTTATTTCTAACAATTTTATGGTGTAGTCATTAGGATTTTCTAAATATAAGATCATTTTGTCAGCAGAGACAATTTCACTTTTCTTGTTTGGATAACTTTCATTTCTTCTTTTTGCCCAGTTGCTCTGGCAAGGACTTTTAGTACTCTGTTGAATAGACATGGAGAGAGTGGGCATGTACCTGATCTTAGAGGAAAAACCTTCAACTTTTCACCATTGAATATAATGTTAGCTGTGGGCTTGTTATTTATGGTCTTTTTTTTGTGTGTGTTGAGGAACATTCATTCTATAGTTAGTATGTATATTTATTTGATAGGGAGTCTTGCTCTGTCACGCAGGCTAGTTAATTGTTGAGAGTTTTATCATAAAAGGGTATTGAATTTTGTCAAATGCTTTTTCGGCATCTAAGGAGATGATCAAGTGATTTTTATCCTTCATTTTGTTAATGTAATGTGTCACATTTAGTGTATGTTGTACCATCCTTGCTTCCCAGGGATAAATCCATTGTAATCATGGTGAATGATCCTTTTAATGTGCTGTTAAATTCCGTTTGCTGGTGTTTATTGAGGATTTTTTCATCTGTGTTTATAAGAGGCATTGACCTGTAATTTTCTTTTCTTGTAATGTTTTTGTCTGGCTCTGGTATTATGGTGTACTAGCCTCTTGTATTCCTTTTTGTTTCTGTGTAATTGGTTGTAATGTTTTTTCTTTTGTTTCTAATTTTGTTTGCATTTTCTTTTTCTTTATTAAATGTCTAGCTAAAGATTTGTCAGTTAATCTTTTTTTAAAAAACAACTTTTAATTTTATTGATTTTTTTTTTCTTTTTTTTTTGAGATAAGTTCTCACTTTGTCACCCAGGCTGGAGTGCAGTGGCACTATCTTGGCTCACTGCAGCCTTGACATCCTGGGCTCAAGTAATCCTCCTGTCTCAGCCCCTCAAGTAGCTGGGACTACAGGTGTGGGCCACCATGCCCAGCTAATTTTTTGTGTTTTTTTGTAGAGACAAGGTTTTGCCATGCTGCCCAGGCTGGTCTCGAACTCCTAAGCTCAAGCTATCTGCCTGCCTCAGCCTCTCAAAGTGCTAGGATTACAAGTGTGAGCCACCGCACCCGGCTGATTTTTGTTTTCTTTTTTAATTCTCTATTTCAGTTGTTTCTGCCCTAATCTTTATTATTTCCTTCCTTCTATTAACTTTGGACTTAGTTTATTCTACTTTTTCTAGTTCCTTGAAGTTTTGAGTTAGGTGGTTTATTTGAGATTTTTTTAAAAAAAGGCATTTATAGTGCTGGCTTGGTGGCTCACGCCTGTATTCCCAGAACTTTGTTGGGCTGAGGTGGGCAGATTGCTTGAGCCCAGGAGTTTGAGAACAGCCTGGGTAACATGGTGAAACCCATCTCTTCAAAATATACAAAATTAGCTGGGCATGGTGGCATGCACCTGTGGTCCCACCTAATGGGGTGTTGGGGGTGGGTGCTGAGGCTGAGGTGGGGGGATCTTGAACCCAGAAGATCGAGGCTGCAGTGAGCCAAGATTTTGCCATTGCAGTCCAGCCTGGGTGGTGGAATGAGATACTGTGTTTAAAAAAAAAAAAAAAAAAATTATTGCTACAAATTTCCTCTTTTGAACTGCTTTTGATATATCTCATAAGTTTTGGTATTTATGTTTTCATTTTCATTTGTCTCAAGATAATTCCTAATTTCCTTCTTGATTTTATTCTTTGATTCTTTGGTTGTTCAAGAATGTGTTTAATTTCTACATATTTGTGAACTTTCCAGTTTTCTTTCTGGTATTGATATCTAGTTTTATTCCATTGTGTTTGGAAAAGATACCTGGAATGATTTCTGTCTTTTAAAATGTGTTTTTTTTTGTGATATCTAATGTGATCAGAAGGTTAGATCACATGTTAGAGCCTGGAAAAAGGTTTGTGTGTGCTTGAGAAGAATGTAGTCTCCTTATCTTGGGTGGCATGTTATGGATAGGTCTGTTAAATCCATTCGGTCTGTAGTATTATTCAAGTTTTCTGTTTCCTTACTGATCTTTTGTCTAGATATTCTATGGAAAGTAGTGTATTGAAATTCCCTACTATTACTGTGTTGATGTCTATTTATTTCTTCAGTTCTGTGTCACATATATTCATATGCTTTTGTCCTCTGATGTGGTATGTGTATATATTTATAATTGTTATATTTTCAAAGTATATTTTGTCTAATATAAGCATAGGCACCCCTGTTCTCTCTTGGCTAACATTTGAATGGATTATCTTTATCCATCCTTTCACTTTCAGCCTGTCTGTGTCCTTAAATTTAAAAGAAGTTTCTTGTAGACAGCATACAGCTTTAAAAAAAATAGCTTGTCTTAAAAAATATCAATTTAGATACTTTGTCTTTTGAATGTGGAGTTAGATGTTACATTTAAGGTAATTAATTACTGACAGGAAAGGACTTAACTACTGCCATTTTGTTAATTGTTTTTCTGTCTTGTAGCTCTTCTGTTCCTCTTTTCCTCTCTTGTACTCTTCTTTTATATTTTATTATATTTTTCCTTGCAATTTGTTTGTTCAAGAGATTGGGTCACTCTCTGTTAGATTTTCCCACAGTTTGAATTTTGGTGACTGTATCCCTATGGTATCTCTTAATATATTTCTCTGTGGTCTTTTTCTGTAAATTGGTAGTTGGATCTAGATGGCTTGATCAGATTTTGATTTACACTTCCCCCCCCCAAAGACAATTTCATAGGTGGGTGATGCTTTCTTTTCTTTTTTCCCTTTTTTTCTTTTTTCTTTTTCTTTTTTTTTTTTTCTGTTGCCCAGGCTGGAGTACAGTGGAGCGAGCAGTCATGGTTCACTGCAGCCTCAATTTCCTGGGCTCAGATGATTTTTTCACCCCAGCCTCCCGAGTAGCTGGGAGTGCAAGCGTGAGCCACCATGCCAGGCTAATTTTTGTATTTTTTGTTGAGACAGAGTTTCACCATGTTTCCCAGGCTGGTCTTGACCTCTGGGCTCAAGCTATCTGCCTGTCTTGGCCTCCCAAAGTGCTGGGATTACAGGTGTAAGCCACCATGCCCAACCTGCATGGTGTTTTCTTTCATCAGAATCTGGAGGCACATAATGTTTCATAGTCTCTTTTTCTTTTCTTTTCTTTCTTTTTTTTTTTTTTTTTGTAGAGACGGAGTCTTGCTCTGTTGCCAGGCTGCAGTGCAGTGGCACCATCTTGGCTCACTCTGCCTCCTGGGTTCAAGCAATTCTCTTGCCTCAGCCTCCCTAGTAGCTGGGACTACAGGTGCCCGCCACCACGCCTGGCTAGTTTTTTTGTATTTTTAGTGGAGACAGGGTTTCACCGTGTTCGCCAGGATTTTCTCAATCCCCTGACCTCGTGATCCGCCCGCCTCGGCCTCCCAAAGTGCTGGGATTACAGGCGTGAGCCACCGCGCCTGGCCTAGATTCTGTAATTAATTAGGGATCTTAAAATGGTGATATTCTAATTTCATAATTCCTTCTTTATTACTACAGAGATAGTTTTAATCTTCTATGAGTTACCAGTGGTACAGTTTGTATATGAAAGGCAGAATAAATGCCTGATTAAAATTTTTTTTTTACTTGCCAGTTGATATAATTTGCTCTATAAGCATCATCTCATGTTATGGTGGAAATTGAAATGTTTTCTATTTTATTCTAGTTTGCATTTATGTCGGATCCTCAGTGAAAATAAAAGCCATGATAGTTCGACGTATAGAGGTAAGATTTTTAAAAGTATCTTAGTTATTTTTGGCTTGATTAAAATTAGTAACTGTCTGCTTTCTATTCATTGTTAGGTATGAAAACAAAAGGTGTAAGATAGTTCACATTACATAAAGGTTTTACATGGTTATATTATAGTCAGGATTAAAACTGTAATTACAGTAAGACTATATCTCTGTATACCGATGTTATTTGACCTGCATTATAATGATATGATATTGCTTGACTTTTGTAATTGGGGCTTGGTATATTTAGCTAAATTTCAGCAGTTGTTAGCTGTATCAATCATAAATATGACAGAGAAGATAGCATGGAAAGAAAAATTGTTCTGATCTTATTTGCACTAGAAAATTTCCAGGAACTGAGGTTCAGTGTTTTTACTACAGCTGGTTATGTTTAGGTGGTGTCTGGGGATCTTGTTAAAGGCAGTTGTCACGGAAAACATTCAAACAAAGGAGTTGTTTACTGCATATCACAGATATGATTTATTAAATAAAATATTATATAATTAAATAGTATATATTATAATTTTCCAGTATCTTTAGTTTCAAAGGATTTTACTATTTAACGTTTTATTAATTTAAAATTAGACATGTGGATTTGGCAAAGGAGGGACAAAACTAAAAGCGATTGTGTCTAGTAAGTGTAAAGCATTTACATTTGTAGTATTGTTGGGGGTAAAACCCACAGTATTTTTTTAAATTAGAAAATACATTTTTATTACTGATATTCTATTTGAAGGCAAAAGCATTAGATAAAGTGTATTATGGTCATTTAAATTATGCTTTTGTGAATAGAAGATTAAGAACAGAATTTTACATATATATATATATATATGCTTATTTTTGTTCCACCAAAAGTTATAACTTTCATAAGAGAGAATATATTTTCTTTTTTTTTCTGTCTTTTTTTTTTTTTTTTTTAAAGGAGACAGGGTCTCTTTCCATTGCCCAGGCTGTAATGCAGTGGTGGTGTAATCATAGCTCACTGCAGCTTCAAACTGGGCTCAAGCGATCCTGCCACTTCAGATTCCCAAGTAGCTGGGACTGCAAGTGTGCAACACCGCTCCTTGCTTATTTATTTATTTATTGTTTGAGATGGAGTTTCACTCTTGTTGACCAGGCTGGAGTGCAATGGTGCAATCTCGGCTCACTGCAACCTCTGCCTCCTGGGTTCAAGCGATTCTCTTGCCTCAGCCTCCTGAGTAGCTGGGATTACAGGCATGTGACACCATGCCTGCCTAATTTTGTATTTTTAGTAGAGATGGGGTTTCACCATGTTGGTCAGGCTGGTCTTGAACTCCTGACCTCAGGTGATCCTCCCGCCTCGGCCTCCCAAAGTTCTGGGATTACAGGTGTGAACCACCGTGCCCAGCCTTATTTTTTTAATTTATATTTTTGTAGAGATGAGGTATCTTGCTATATTGCCCAGGCTGGTCTCATATTCTTGGCCTCAAGCAGTCCTTTCGCCTCAGGCTCCCAGATTGTTGGGATTACTGTCATGAGCCACCTTGCATAGCTGAGGATATACTTTTTAAAGAACATTTGGGCAGGGTGTGGTGGCTCACGCCTGTAATCCTAGCACTTTGGGAAGCTGAGGTGGGTAGATCCCTTGAGGTCAGGAGTTCGAGACCAGCCTGGCCAATATGGTGAAACTCCATCTCTACCAAAAACAAAAAACAAAAAACAAACAAACAAACAAACAAACAAACAAAATAGCTGCGTGTGATGGCGTGCGCTTGTAATCCCAGCTACTCAGAAGGCTGAGGTACGAGAATCGCTTGAACCCGGGAGGCAGAAGTTGTAGTGAGCCAAGATCACACCACTGCACTCCAGCCTGGGTGACAGACCTTGTCTCATAAAAAGAACATTTGGATGTGTGAGTGAAAAATGTTTTTTTTAACAAATGAAAAAGCCATTTTTTACCCTGTCATATGGGTAAGACCTGTTTTAAGAATTAACATTCCTAGCCTGCCATCCCCAAATTATTTTCTTGTTTATCCTGCTTATAAAATTGCATGATCACTCAAAAGATTTTTGAGGTTGATAGACAGTAATGTATTCTTAAGTTAGTTGACTGTCTGAAGTGTAAGAATGTACAGAAAGACTCCTTTCTAAAAATACTTGGGTACTTTATCTTTTTTCTTCCCCGTGTTTAAAATCAGTTTTTAACATCTCAGTTAACTTTGATCTTGTTTAATAGAAACATTAGGTGGATAAAATAGAAGAATTTTCAATAAATGATAGTGTAAATAGTGTAACAATGTGACTCTGGATCTTTAATAACTATTAGGTTATTGTTTATTTGCATGGTTCTGATTCACATGTGAAACCAGAAATAGTTATGAGTGTGGCCTTATTGGCAGAATTGCCAGTGCTCTCCTTCTCTTACCCTTGCTTGTTTCCTTAACACATATACTCACTCCTTGGCTGATCTCTGTCAACAGTCAGGCTTTGGTTTGAGGGGCTCCAGTTTGTTGTCCTAGCAGGAAACTGACTGAATGTCATTCCTTCAGAATCTCTTTTCTGTCTTAGGGGTTTGTGTTTGGGCAGTGTTCCCTCTGACCTTTCTCTTTCTGCCCTTCCTTTGAATTAATTTCATTTCAGGCAGGCAGTTTCCCTTGCACACACTGCTTCTCCTTGTTTCTTTTATAAATCACCTTCCCCCCACCCCAACCACTGCCAATGAAACAACACTGTAAGGATGGCTAATAAACATGAGTAATTGGGGTACAGTGTGATATTTTGATATGTGTATATAATGTGTAATGATCAAATTAGTATAATTAGTGTATCACCTCAAACATTTATCATTTCTTTGTGTTGGGAAAATTCAAAATCCCTTCTAGCTATTTGAAAATAAACTACATTATTGTTTAAAAAAAAAAACATGAGTAGTACTAGTAATATTATTAGACATAACCAAGAATTGGTGTCTTCAACATTCAAACCCTGCAAAAACTAAGAATCTCTAGAAGTACCTTCTAGTGGCCATTCTTTTTTTTAATTTTTTTTTTTTTTGAGATAGAGTCTTGCTCTGTTGCCCAGGCTGGAGTGCAGTGGTGCAATCTTGGCTCACTGCAAGCTCCGCCTCCTGGGTTCACGCCATTCTCCTGCCTCAGCCTCCCAAGTAGCCGGGACTACAGGCGCCCGCCACCACGCCCGGCTAATTTTTTGTATTTTTAGTAGAGACAGGGTTTCACCGTGTTAGCCAGGATGGTCTCGATCTCCTGACCTTGTGATCCGCCTGCCTTGGCCTCCCAAAGTGCTGGGATTACAGGTGTAGCCACCGTGCCTGGCCTCTGGTGGCCATTCTTAAAACTACTCTTTCTGAAGTGTTAGCGTTAAGATAAAATATTTTATTGAATTTTTTGTGGATAACTATAAGGGTTATAAGTTTTCCTCCTCATTGTAAATGTAAAGTTTTTCACCCGCAATATAAATTTTATAGGTTTCTGTGGAACTAGCCTGATAGTTTTAAACCACCACTTACAGTTTCTATGGATAAAACGCAGTAGGAGTTCCCAACCATTCTTAAATAGGCATTTAGAAAACTCGTGAATTAGGCCAGGCGTGGTGGCTCACGCATATAATCCCAGCACTTTGGGAGACCAAAGCGGGCAGATCACTTGAGGTCAGGAGTTCAAGACCAGCTTGGTCAACATGGTGAAGCCCTGTCTCTACCAAAAATATAAAAATTAGCTGAGCTTGGTGGCGGACGCCTGTAATTGCAGTCACTCGGGAGGCTGAGGCTGGAGAAGCGCTTGAACCCAGGAGGCAGAGGTTGCAGTGAGCCAAGATTGCACCACTGTACCCCAGCCTGGAGAGCGAGACTGTGTCTCAAAAGAAAAAAAGAAAACTTGTGATTTGAGAACTATCGTTGCTGCTGTGTGGATCACAGTGTGATTGTTTTTATGTCACTTTAGTGTCAGCAAAATGACCCAGGTCACTTGTTCTCTATTTTAATCTCCTTCTGTGAATAAGATTAGACTTCCCTGGTTCGCTATGAGTACCAGAGGACATATTCTCACGGGACCTTAGTTTTTGATAATTGGCTATTTTGTTCCTCTGATTGCTTTAAAAAAAAAAAACAAAAAAACCAAAAAAAACCCACCTTAATTGTCTGGAAAATTTTAAATAAGTATTGTTTGTTGTAAAGCATTTTATTCATGGAAATACAAAGCATGAAGTTGACCTCTTATACCTACGATACCAAAAAATAGAAATTTTTTCCTTTGTTTTTATATTGTTTATTTAAAAGCACAATGAAGATATAGTTGTAAAATAGGCAGATATATTTAATAAATCTTCATAAATACTTGGAATAATTATTAGCAATAGCAATAGCAAATGATTTAATGAGCAAGTTAATTTTACTGCAAAATAATATTTTCATTAAGGGGGAATTTATATACATTTTGATTTCTATTATGTTCTTTTTTGTGGCTAGGAGTCATAGCAGGGGAGAAGTTTTTTTAAATTTTATTTTTGAGACAGTGGTGCTATCACAACTAATTGCAACTTCTGGAAGTCTCCTGGGCTCAAGTTCCCGCCTCAGCCTCCCCAGTAGCTGGCATAACAGGTGCACGCCACCACACCTGGCTAATTTTTTTTCTCTTTTTTTAGTGGAGATGAGGTCTCCCTATGTTGCCCAGGCTGGTTTCGATCTCCTAGGCTCAAGCCATCCTCCTGCCTTGGCTCCACAAAGTGCTGGTATTATAGGTGTGAGCCACTGCACCTGGCTAAGAAGATTTTTAAAATATTTGATTTTTTAACTTGCTGTTTGGTTCTGAAAAAAATTTGATTCTGCTCAAAAGTAGATTATAAATAGACTTTATTTTACATTAGCATCTTTAAAGCTTCTTGTTTAACTACTTTCTCATGATTGGAAGGAGGTAGAGTTTTTAGTACATGGGACTTAAAAAAAAAAGATGACCAGAAGGAGGTATTCATCTGGCCACTAACTACCCATTCCAAAACCAAAATATCTTTCTTCAGGAAAGGGGACTGTGGTAATTAATAGTGAATGTTGCTACTTGTGGTTGACAGTTATCATAGAACTACCATTTTATACATGTATTTTTTGTTAGATTTTTATGGGACAAAGAGATTTTAGATTTGGGGAGAAACTTCTCTCACTCTAGGGTATAGTTAAAACTCGGTAGTATATTTACTGCTACTCTTTATCTGTTGTCACTATAGCCCTGAGATTGAATTGAGAACATATCCGAAGTCTACTAGTGAGGAGAATGATTGGTTTAAATCCACTCGCTAGAGTTCATTGAAAATAATTAGAGAGACTTGAGTAGCATGAAAAAATGCTTTAAAAGTGTTTTGGGGGGAATCAAAATGCTATATGATGTGCATGGTGAATTTAAATATGTAAAATCTGTAGACATACAGAAAAAACTGGAAAGGAATGCTCAAGCTGTAGTTATAGTAGTGGAGAGGTGGTTAACATTTTTCTAACCTTTTAATTTTATGTTTTTGTGAAAAAGAAAAAAGTGCTAGAGGAAAAGCGTTAGAATTATATTTTTTCATTATTGATGTTTATAATAATTCTGAGAAGTAGGAAATATATAGATTTACTTTTCATGTTCAAGAGACTGTATCCTTACATTTATTTCTCTTATGTTCAACAGATTTCCAGCAAGCTCTCTATGAGTTGTCATATCATGTAATTAAAGGAAATTTAAAGCATGAACAGGCATCTAATGTTCTTAATGACATTAGTGTAAGTATGTATATACATATTTTTAAGTTAATAGTTGTTATATATCTTTTGCTTTGACACAAAGATCCCTGAAGTTTATAACTTATATTTTATTCAAAATTATAGTAGTGGATGGATTTTTAAAATTTTCTTTTTTTTTTCTTTTTTCCCCTCAAAACTGTGGAAGGGAGTAGTGGATGTTTTAAGATGATATGGGTAAGCTGTTTTTACCAGACAGGAACACAGATAGTTTAATCTTTTTATCTGGTTGTTACTAAAATAGGAAATATCAGGTAAGCTGGTAGGGGAAAAAAAAAAAGGCTGTGCTGTAATGAAATTAAGGTATCCATGGGTGGGGGTAGGGGAGAGGGATAGCATTAGGAGATATACCTAATGTAAATGATGAGTTAATGGGTGCAGCACACCAACATGGCACATGTATACATATGTAACAAACCTGCACGTTGTGCACATGTATCCTAGAACTTAAAGTATAATTAAAAAAAAAAAAAAGAAATTAAGGGATCCTTAATTAAAAACGCCACTCTAAAAACATAAATTGGCTAAAATATTTTTCTCTCAATATAAGTCATTTTTTTGTTTGTAGTTATGTTTAGAAATTAAATATATTTTAAAAATTGAGGATTAAATTATTTTAAATTGCTATTGCTTGGCTCTAACATTCACTTGGTGCCAGTTTTCATTTACTTACGGTTTAAAAAAAATTGACTAGATTAAAAAAAACCCTTTTACATGGTTATTTTGTTTCACTCTTTCTTTGGAGAATTTAAGTTAGATTCAGACCAAATGTTTTTCATGGTGGTTTGGCATTTGAATTGGAAGATGGGCTTTCACATTGTAAACCAGTAGTTAAACTTGAGGTTTTATGAGTGGTGTGCTGTTCTTTTATTATTAAGCTGGTTTTTAAACTTGTATATGAATAAAATTATCTTGTGTGTGTGTATGTATATATACATTTATAATGAACTTGTATATAAATAAAATTCAGAATAGCTTTTATAATAGGTTTTATTAAGGTGTGGGAATTGAAGCTTCTTGGTCTCAATCTGAACTTCTCTTACTGTGTTTCTTTAATCTTCTGTAGCCTTTTTTTCTGTCAGGGGAGGTAATATTTGTATGTTTTTTGTGCTTTCCCAGGGATAGTCTTAAGGAAATTCTAAGTTTAGCTGTTGTGATTTCCACCCCATATTGGGGTGTATTTGAGCAGTAGGAATTCAGTGAGTTTCCCTTTTGTCTCTAAATTATCTCCAACTGATAACAACAGCATTAGTTCATGCTGGAGTAGTCTATTTCCTTTTTTTTCTTTTAACGTTAAAAAAATTCAGTTGCTGCCAATCTTTCTTAAATAACTAATTTTTCATTTTTGAAAACTCTTATCTTACTATATTTCTGATCTTCAAGTGGCCTGAGTACTTGCATTTAAATAGACGTAACCAGAGTTCAGAGCCCTTAAGAAATTTGAGGCTAAAATCTGATTGACAAGGTTATTTCATTTTGTAAATTGAGCATTGGTATAGGTTTTAGTTTGTTTATGGGATCTGATTCTGATTCTTTTTCCATTTATTGAAAATGGATAGTTCAAGTGAATTTTATGTATGTATGTTTGGTTCTTACATAGCTTCTTTCTTTTGAATACTTAATGATGTTTTTATAGATACTTCTGCAGCTTAATTGTCTTTGTCATGGCTTTCTCTTAGTACTGTACACTGTCCAGTATCTTACCCACAGAAGAGTATCTTGTGCATTTCTTTGCAGCTGCCAGATTTTTCTTTAGAATTTCCTTTAGTTTCTGAAAATAGGCTAATTTTAGGGTTGCTGTACTGCCAGCAAACTGTTAACTGCAATAAGTGAACTATGATCCCTTCTAATGGAAAATAGCCCTAAAATTGAGTGTGGGAGTAGAAAGTCAAGAGACAAGTCTAGAATAATACTGAAGTTTTTATTCAGAAACAGGAGGGTCCTTTTCTTTTCTTTTCTTTTTCTTTCTTTTTCTTTTTTTTCCCCCAAGACGGTGTCTTGCTCTGTCACCCAGGCTGGAGTGCAATGACACAGTCTCAGCTCACTACAACCTCCGCCTCCCAGGTTCAAACAATTCTCCTGCCTCAGCCTCCTGAGTAGCTGGGATTACAGGCGCATGCCACAACACCCGGCTAATTTTTGTATTCTTAGTAGAGACAGGGTTTCACCATGTTGAACAGGCTGGTCTTGAACTCTTGACCTTGTGATCCACCTGCCTTGGCCTCCCAAAGTGCTAGGATTACAGGTGTGAGCCACTGTGCCTGGCCCGATTTTGGGTCATTTTCCCCAAAGGCTACAAGAGTGAATAAAGAAAATAAAGAGAACATTGAGCTCTAAAAAAGGGGAGAGGGAGGAGGAGGAATAAGGGTTGAAAAACTACCTATTCAGTACTGTGTTCACTATTTGGATGATGGATTCGATAGAAATCCAAACCCCAGCATTACGAAATATATTCATGTAACGAACCTGTACATGTACCTCCTGAAACTAAAAAACAACCCCCCCAAACCAGCTTTTAGCTTTTTAGCTGGTTTTGTATTTTCAAGATTTCTGTTTTTCTGATACCATTATGATTTTTGCATAGATCAAATGTTGACTCAGGCATGAGCACAACATTTAAAGTCTTGGGTGAAAAATGTACCATTTTTAACAGTCTTCCTTTAGGTAGGTATGAGGTACTCTAAATTCATGTGATTTCTAAAATGAAACCTCATTGGAAAAATGTTACTCGTTTGCGCTCTTTAATATTTCCCAAAGTGCTTGTTTAGGTTTCCGTTTTTTAATCAAGTTATTTCATGGCACGCGTAAACATTTTTTGCAAACATTATCTTCCTCTTTGTTATGAAAGTTTACTTGAAGAATTTTAATATTTGTCAATATAATGATGGGGTTTTTGGTTTTTTAAAAAAATTTTTTCAGCTTCACCTGGAAATAATTTTTTTTTTTTTTAAAGTCAGAGTTTCCTCTGTTGCCCAGGCTGGAGTGCAGTGGTGCGATCTTGGCTCACTGCAGCTTCCACCTCCCAGGCTCAAATGATCCTCCCACCTCAGCCTCCGGAGTAGCTAGTGCGCCATCATGCCTGGCTAATTTTTTTTTTTTTTTTTTTTTTTGTAGAGATGGGATTTCACCACGTGGTCCAGGCTGGTCTCAAACTTTTGGGCTCGAGTCTTCTGCCCTCCTTGGCCTCCCAAAGTGCTGGGATTGCAGGTGTGAGCCACTGCTCCCAGCCGTTTTTTGTTTTTAAGTTTCACAGAAGAGTGTTATTATGAAACCCTAATACTTGCTGTGTGCTTTTTTGCTATTTACTGTAATTATATTTTTAAAATTAGGAATTTCGTGAGGATATGCCCTCCATTCTTGCTGATGTATTCTGCATATTAGGTAGGTATTAAGCCTTTATTTCACCTGTAATGTGCTGTTTGGTAAGTCAAATGTTTGTTAAATAAAATGTTTTAAACTAAGAATTTTACAAATGTTTCTGCAAATCTAGAAGCAAATTGATTCTTTGTAGAGAATATAGCAATATAAGTCAAATGTCATAATGTTATAAACAAGCTTTAGAGGTATAATTCAGATTGTTTGAGTTTTTGACAATATAGATTTGTATAAATTTGAGCTAAATTAAGTTATTTCAAGTTAAAAGGCCAAGTTTTCTGAGATTTTGGTAACCAAATAATCTTATTTAATGCAGGTTTTCAATGAATGATGTCAGAATCTCATACTTAGGACACTCAAGAAATACTTTGCTATTGTACTCTTTTGATTCTTCTTAATTTTAGAAAGAGCAAGAAGAGCCAAAGTAATCAAAAGTACTTTTGTTTTGAGGATGAGAAACCAGCTTTGGGAATAGCAACTTCTTTATTTTTTCAGAATAAATACGGATTCATGCAAGATAAAAAAAGGAGTATTTCTGTGACTTAGAATGAAATGTAGTGTCCCATGGCATGGATTTAAAAAATAATGTTTATTATAATTTTTTTTTCTCCAATTTTAGATCTAGATGAAAATAACTGAGCACAGATTTCCCATCAGTCAGTCCTGTGCTTTCTTTTCTTTTCTTCTCTTTCTCGAGACACGGTCTTACTCTTTCGACCAGGCTGGACTGCAGTGGTGTGATCTTGGCTCACTGCAGCCTCAGCCTCTTGGGCTCAAGTGATCCTCCTATTTCACCACCACGCCCTGCTAATATATATATACACACACATACATACACACACACACACACCAAACATATATTTATATATAAACAAATATAAAATATAAATATATGTGTGTATATATATAAATATAAACAAAAAATATATATATTTTAGTAGAGATTGGATTTCACCGTGTTGCCCAGGGTTGTCTGGAACTCCTGGGCTCAAACAATCTGCACACCTGAAGCTTCTAAAGTGCTGGGATTATAGGCATGAGCCACGGCACTAGGCCCAGTCTTGTGCTTTCTGTTACTTTGAATCTAATAGAAGACGTTGCCAAACATTATTGTATTCATTTTATTTATTTAGTTAGTTTTTAGAGGCAGAGTCTCGCTATTTTGCCCAGGCTGGTCTTGAATGCCTGGCTTCAAGTGATCCTCCCACCTTGGCCTTCCAAAGTGCTGGGATTATAGGTGTGAGCCACTGCACCCAGCCAATATTCACTTTAAAATAAGACATCCTCTGAGGGTTTGTGAACCTGGGATGAATTGTTTTAGCTCATTAATCTTAATTCTTAGAATTAGATACATTACTTAAATGTCTTACTGAGAATTTAGAATTTGTTCTTGACAAATATAAATGCTGGTGCTTGATCCTTCAGGAAGTTTCAGATTTCATAAGTTCCCAGTAATGTTGGGAGTAGGTCAACATGTATGTGGACTGGGAGTGATAAATGAAAAGAGAAGACCGTTGATGAGATGAGCACATGTCCCAGTTTTGTTTTCACTGGCTGATTATTAATAGTGCCCCCTTTTACTCTCAGAACTATCCTGGTTTGGATGATCGAGTATATGTTCATGCTATCTGTTGGATTGATTTAAGCCAACCAAAAAACCTTTTAAGCTAAAATTTTTAGTGAGGCGCTAAAGATATTACCTTTTTTTTTTTTGCAAATAAATACATCATGAAACAAATTTCAGTTAAAAATATTTTTACTATAAATTTGTAAAACTGTAAGACTGATTTGTAGGTAACATTTTGTGGAAGCTGTTGTTCCTTGATCGTGTCAGGAGTATATCTTTCTTTGGGTAATCATCAATTATCAGCTTATTGGCCCTAGTAATTTCTTTATTGACTTATTAGGTTATATTTTTCCCTTCGTAGTTATTTAGTAACATGAATTATTGTTACAAGTCATTGTCTTTTACTAGTAACATGAATTCATGAAGATGATGCTTGGTTGCTCTTGGGAAATTTCTCTTAGCCTATCCAGTCCATTTTTTGTTTGAGATGGAGTCTTGCTCTGTCACCCAGGCTGAGTTCAGTAGCACGATCTTGGCTCATTGCAACCTCTGCTTCCTGGGTTCAAGTGATTCTCCTGTCTCAGCCTCCTGAGTAGCTGGGATTACAGGCGCATGCCACCACGCCTGGCTAATTTTTTTGTATTTTTAGTAGAGATGGGGTTTCACCATGTTGGCCAGACTGGTCTCAAACTCCTGACCTCAAGTGATCTGCCCACCTAGGCCTCCCAAAGTGCTGGGATTATAGGCGTGAGCCATGGTGCCCGGCCTATCCAGTCCATTTTTATAAGCAAGATTATGATGGCAAACTTGGGAAGAGGATTTCCCTCACCTGCCCCCTCACTCACCCACCCTCACCCTTGGCAGAAAAAAAATGATTAAAGTGTGACCCCAGATCAAGGCTGGGGAATAGAAGTAAGAATGTGAGCTACCTCTAATAATAATGATGATGATGATGATGATGATGATAATAATAATGATAATAATAACAATTTAAGTTCTGCTTTTAGAGTACCTTCCATGTTCTAGGCATTGTGTTAAGCATTTAATTTTTATTTTAATCCTTACATCAACTCCTGTAATGGTGGTAGGTGTACAGATCAGAAAAATGAGGTTCAGTGAAGCAGTGATTTTTCAAGGCCACACAAGCCAGTAAGGCAGAATTTGAACCTGGGTCCCTTTGGCTCCACAGCCTGTTATCTTTTTATTACATCATGTTGTCATTCTAAATGTTAACAGTTATAAGGGAAATTAGTGCTGCACTTTCCAGGTTAAGATAGCAACTCCCCCCTGCCCCCCCAAGCCCGCCCCGAGATGGAGTTTCACTCTTGTTGCCCGGATTGGAATGCAGCGGTATGATCTTGGCTCGCTGCAACCTCCGCCTCCCAGGTTCAAGTGATTCTCCTGCCTCAGCCTCCCGAGTAGCTGTGATTGCAGGCATGTACCACCACACCCAGCTAATTTTTGTATTTTTAATAGAGACAGGGTTTCGCCCTGTTGGCCAGGCTGGTCTCGAACTCCTAACCTCAGGTGATCTGCCTGCCTTGGCCTCCCAAAGTGCTGGGATTGCAGACTTGAGCTACCGCACCCGGCTGATAGCGACTTTAATAGACTAATCATATGAAGGTGAGGGGACGTGAGAGCTATAGAAATGGGGAGTCTGCTGTAACTTGGTATGCTGATGGGACCTCTGGGCTAGAGTAGGTAATTGGTGATACTGGGCACTAGAGTTGGAAATAGCTGAGGGCTTTTTATTAAAATCATAGGGGAAATTAAAGAGAATTTATTCGAAGTAGAGGAGTCAGGGATAATAAATGAGTTTATTAGAATGGTGTTAATGAGTTAGAGCAAAAAGAATAAAGAAACCAGGGAAGGTACAGTTGGGATAATAGAGTCCTGTACTGATTGTTGAGATAGTTCAGCTAAGAAATTTACTGAGACCCTATTAAGCATTTCCTAACATTGTCAGAACCCAAGAGAATGGTTAGACATTTAAGTAATTTATCCAATTCTAAGAATTAAGATTAATGAGCTAAAATAATTCATTCCAGGTTCACAAACCCTCAGAGGATAACTGTCTTAATCAGGTTAGGTGGCTGAGAGGAGAGAGACTGGACTTGAACAGGATGAATCTGCCATCCGTTGCCTCTGATCTTAGGGACCTTGAGAGGTAGATCTTAGGGACTTTAGGGCCCTGGAGTATAGATAGATGTTGGGTAAAAGAATGAACTCAGTTTAGCCCCGGTCCCTTAAAATCAGTATCTTTAAAGTTCTAGACTGAGGAGGGACCAGAAAACCAGATAGCAGGGCAACAATTGGGAGTCCCTGAAAAGGATTGGTGAGGTACACATGGGTTAAAAGTCTTAATGAGAAATTGAGATTATACTGTAATTTACATTGCATAAATTACACCCTAAAATTTCCTTAATACACATGAGCTAACTGCATGCTTAGCTACAGTGGCCAGGATATGTAGAAATGGCAACTGTCCAAGAAGGGAAAGTCAAGGGCCAGGAAAATGTGGATATATTTGATGAAAAATCCCCTTCTCTTTTGATTCTCAATGTTGGCAGTAGAGCGTGTAGAGGACAATTTTTATTACTTCACTAAAACCAGTGCTTCTCTTTATAGCATATTCTAAATTATGAGTTGACTGTAAAATTAGGTTAATAGTATATAATCAGTTAAAGCAGTAATCCTGAGATTAGCCTTGTTTGTAATCCTGCCAATGCTGGTTGAAATTTTTGGTGCTTGGCATTTGGCACTGTTTTCTTTCTTCCACACTTCAGATCAGAAAAATTTTTGACAAATTTTCTGAATAATTTACTGAAACTCACAGTCTCAGTTTTTAAATATTTCAGTAGGAAGATAAAAATTTTGAATAATTTATATTTACTGACTAGAATTATAATTCAAGATAAGATGTTATTTATTTTATTTTATTTTATTTTATTATTATTTTTTTTGAGACAGAGTCTTACTCCGTCACCCGGGCTGGAATGCAGTGGCATGATCTCGGCTCACTGCAACTTCCGCCTCCCAGGTTCAAGTGATTTTCCTGCCTCAGCCTCCCTAGTAGCTGCACTTACAGATGGGCGCCACTGCGCCCAGCTGATTTTTGTATTTTTAGTAGAGACGGGGTTTCACCATGTTGCCCAGGCTGGTCTTGAACCCCTCACCTCAGGTGATCCACCTGCTTCGGCCTCCCAAAATGTTGGGATTGCAGGCGTGAGCCACTGTACCTGGCCAGAACTATTTTTTAATACTGTCTTTTCATAAGGTTGGTGGCCAGGTAGCTTGGTTAGGACATAGTAATTTGACCAGGGTGGCGAAAGTCATGGGTTTGATTTTCATGAGTATTAGGATCTTTAGAGTTAGAAGAAATCTTTGTTATAACCCTATTCAACTTTCCACCTAAAATAATCTTTTTTTTTTCTTTTTAGCATCTCTGACAAGTAGTCATTTAAACTTTGAATGTTTCGTTTTTTGCGAACAATTTTTTATGAAGCTTTGTTGCTTCCAGTGCCATAGCAGGCAGCTCCAGTGTAATTGATGTACCATTTTATGGATCTGTCATAGGTCACAGGGTCAACCTCCAGTTTTAGGAGAAATTAAAGCATTCATATAATATTTCATGTTACCATAGTTTTGAATTTTTCCAAATTCAGATTGAGGCATTTTGAAATTAGTTTTTAAATAATTATCTTACTTTAGTGCTGGGGAGTGTAGAAAAATCAATCAAACTTTTTTCGTCTTCATCATTATAGATATTGAGACAAATTGTTTAGAAGAAAAAAGCAAGAGAGACTATTTTACACAGTTGGTATTAGCATGTTTGGTAAGTTTTTAAAAATATTTTTCCCTTTTAAAAATCTGCATTAAACAGCTGCAATAGAAGTTAGTCATGTTAATGGAGGAGGATATTGACATTCAGTTGACTTTTCTCATAAGGTGAGATTTGCGTTTTGAAATGGAATGTTTTGTGAAATTAGACATGCTGTTTCTATGAAATAAGCATGTAACCATATCCATATCACTTAAACTATCTAGACATTTAAAACCTTTGGTGATATTCCTGACCTAGTAAGTTCCTAAGAAAAAGGTAAGCATTTATAAAGTAAGTAGAAATGATTGTAGACAGCTTTTAAATGGATTTTTTTTTTCTAATAAACTGGTAAGCAAAGAGTAAAAGAATAGAGGTAGTTTAAAAATGATAAACTCTAGAACTCGCCATGATTGTTGTCTGGTAAACCATTTGTGTTCATAAATTTAGAACCAGGGAGAACTGCCATGGTTCAGACCTGGAAGAAGGTGCTTGTCTTTGCTATACTAGAATTTAACTTCAAGTAGGAGGCTATTAAGTGCTGTATTAGGTGAAAATCCAGTTGAGCCAAATGCAATCATATTGAAAATTTCATCTGTAGTTCTTGTCATTTATAGGCAATATACAACATGCATATAATTTTGTAGGGAATTTTTTGAAAGCTATTTATAAAATATTTCAATATTTAGAGTCATAATATTTGTTAAATTGAACTTCCAAGCCTTTTTATAAATTGTAGGTTGTTATATAATGTTATTTTTGTATTCTTATTTAGGAAGCTTTAGTTTGAATATATTTAACGTTGTGGATGCAATGCTAAGGAATAAATGACTTTTAATATTTTTTAATACAGTATTTAGTTTCAGACACAGTTTTAAAGGAACGCCTGGATCCAGAAACACTGGAATCATTAGGGCTTATCAAACAATCACAGCAATTCAATCAAAAGTCAGTTAAAATCAAGACAAAACTCTTGTAAGTACACGTATCTTACGTTTCAGATCAAGTAGCTGAGTATGTTTTTTCATTCATATTTTGAATGCTAGTGGCTTCTAAGGGGACTTTGAAGACTGTTTTTTTGTTTGTGGTTAGCATGTCTTGTGTTTTTTGCCTTCTAAAAGTAGCCTAATATTATTGAGTCATCAGTGACCTTTACCTGTGTAAAACCAATGTTACTTTTGCCCATATTCAAAGTTAAAATAATACTCATGCTTTCATCATTAGCAATAAAATGATTTATGACTATGACTATACTCGGGGTATATTCTTAGAGATGGAAATAGTGATATGTTATTGTTCCCTGATATTAACAATATCCTTTTCTTGTGTTACTGGTTTTCCCCGTGTAATTAATATTGGGGGTTCTCATATGAACCACTGTTGTTTTCTACTCTAAAAGGCACACAAAGAAGTAAACTTTAAACAACTATTCTTACGATTGTTGTAGGTTGGAGATAAGAAAATTCAGTGAGAATACAGTACTCTGTGCAAGCTTGTTAATTGAGATTAATTTTATCCCCTTAATGGTATTTATCTGATTTCAGTTATAAGCAGCAAAAATTCAATTTGTTAAGAGAAGAGAATGAAGGTTATGCCAAGCTGATTGCCGAATTGGGGCAAGATTTATCTGGAAGTATTACTAGTGACTTAATCTTAGAAAATATCAAATCTTTAATAGGTAAGACATATATCTGTATAGTATGTGTTGTTAAGATAAGTTATTTTAATTGTTGGAGAATATCCATAAAGACAAAATGAGTGCATTCCATATACTTTTTTTTTCTGGTTAAGGAATGGGAGAGGTGTTTAGCTTTTACTTTTAATGTTTTATCAGTAATTATAAAATTTAGCATGATATTTGTGAGAAATCTTTTTGTCACTATTACTTGTATGTTAATATTAGGTCCTGCTCTGTCTAGTCTTTCTTTTTTGTGGAGGGGATCCTGAGTGGTAAGCCAACGCTTTCAAAAGACAATGGATGACAAAGAACAGAATGGACTGTTCTGATACAGTGCCCTACATTTCTCTGGTATTTCTATTTTTAAGTATTTCTCAACCATTTTATGGAGGACTGAAAAGCAAACATGAAAACTTTAATACAGTAAATCTTCAGTGAACTTTTGAAACCTACAGATGTGTAATTTTGAACTTTTTTCAAAATAACTTTACAAGGGACTTTGATGCATATTTTATCTTTATAATAGCCTTTTAAAGTAAGTGCAACAGCTGTTGTGAAAGTGTAACAGGAAAGTTTTTATTCTCCCTACCCTTTAAGTAGAATTCCTGTAGCATTACTTTTTTCTTTTTATTTGCATTGAGCATTTGGAAGAAGTAGTTGACTTCTGTGGAAAAGATGAATGAGCACCAGAAAAATAGGGTAATCTCGATTTTCCTAAGGTGGAAATAGTTTTTTCTATTATTTGCTAGGTGTTGTGCTATCGTAGGGAAGATTTTGCGGTACGTGGGTCTTGAGACCTGCCAGAGGAGTCATATTTTGTGCCTCACTAGTTACATCTTAGGGGTGCTTATCATCAGCTTCTTGATTCTTTCTCTGTTTTTTGGAGTTTATATATGACTACGAAAGAGGGAGAAGGTGTCCCAATCCTTATCTCCTTCCTCTGGTGCTTTGTGTAGGAATCCAATTAAAACTAGATTTACTATAATCACCCTTGTTCTTACCAGCAAGTAAGTAGCTTTCAGTTTATTTTTAAAATTTTTATTTATTTTTTTAAGAGATGGGGTCTCGCTATGCCCAGGCTGGTCTTGAACTCATGGGCTCAAGCGATCCTTCTGCCTTGGCCTCCCGAAGTACTGGGATTACAGGCATGAGCCACTGTGCCCGACTAAATAGCCTTTTGTTTAAATACCCTTTTCTTTGAAGTTAATCTAGTTCTGGCAGCTGATCTAGTTTCTTTGCTGTTTCTTCCAGTTGTCAATTTAACATCAAGATGGGTGGCCCCCTAGGGCTGTGGGACTCTTGCTTACCTGTGTGGCCGTGACTCATTTTTAGAAACCTTCCTGTGGTGGTTCCTTAGTTCCTTTCTGTTCATTCTTTTGGCTTGGCTTGTCTTGTCTTTTCTTTCTATGGAGTCTCACTCTGTCGGCCAGGCTGGAGTGCAGTGGCACAATCCCAGTTCACTGCAACCTCTGCCTCTGGGGTTCAAGCAGTTCTCCTGCCTCAGCCTCCCGAATAGCTGGGACTACAGGAGCCTGCCAACACACCCAGCTAATTTTTGTATTTTAAGTAGAGATGGAGTTTCACCATGTTGGCCAGGTTGGTCTCAAACTCATGACCTCAGGTGATCCGCCCACCTTGGCCTCCCAAAGTGCTGGGATTGCAGGCTTGAGCCACTGTGCCCAGCCCCTTTCTGTTCTTTCTAGGGTAGGCACCACACTTTCCTGAGTGTTTTTTGATCCAGCTTGAGAAGCTTGTCAGTGCTGCTTTGCTATAAGTTTGTCTTTCCTTGTATCCTGTCATGTACTTACTTAAGATAGTATTCCCCACATAAAAATTCTGTGCTATGTTTTTTTTTTTTTACTTTATATCCTTTTTTGTTGACATCTGTTTCTTCTATTTCTTGTGAGTTTATACCTTTTCGTTCCTTCGTTATTTTGGGAACATTTCAAAGAGGGATTTTCTTGAAGGTGTGCTTTTATCTTACTAGAAAATGTACACTACTTACTTTTCTTGAACTTTGCTCTCAGGGTGAACAGGCTATGATCCTATTTCTGAAAAACAGCGTAACAAACACAATTGTAAGCTCATGAGGTATATGGACAGTCTATGAGTATAAACAATTTGATTTATTGGGCTAAACCTATATTCTGACCCACCAAGTAGTACTCAAATGTCACCTTCTTAGTGAAGCCTTCCCTGCCCACCCCTGTCAAAACTCCCTATTATTCCCTGATTATTTTTCTTTTTTGCACATATCACCATATAATATGCTCTGTACCTCCTCCCCCTCCCCCTCCCCCTGTGATGTAAGCTCTGTGAGGACTGGGGTTTTGTTTAGTACCTTATCCTTTCTTTTTTTTTTTAATTGAGACGGAGTCTTGCTCTGTTGCCCAGGCTGGAGTGCAGTGGCGTGATCTCAGCTCACTGCAAGCTCCGCCTCCCGGGTTCACGCCATTCTCCTGCCTCAGCCTCCCAAGTAGCTGGGACTACAGGCACCCACCACCACGCCTGGCTAATTTTTTGTAGTTTGTTAGCCAGGATGACCTCGATCTCCTGACGTCGTGACCCGCCCGCCTCGGCCTCCCAAAGTGCTGGGATTACAGGCGTGAGCCACCGCACCCGGCCAGTACCTTATCCTTAATACTTGGTATGTAGGTGATAAATAAATACTGGGTATAAAAGGAATGAATATTTCCTCTATTCTTGTATAATCTATACTGACTCTTAGCCTCTTTTTCCTGACATGGAGAATTTTAGAAAGTTCATCTCCCTGTCCCAGTGTTTATTTATCTCTGACTAGGTGATTTCCTCCTCCCTTTAATTGTCTGAGAAATAAACTTTTATTTTTTTGAGACAGAGTCTTGCTTCATTGCCCAGGCTGCAGTGCAGTGGTACGATCTTGGCTCTCTGCAACCTCTGCCTCCCAGGTTCAAACGATTCTCGTGCCTCAGTCTCCCGAGTAGCTGGAATTACAGGCGTGGGCCACCCATACCCAGCTATTTTTTTTTTGTGTGTGTGTTTAGTAGAGACGGCGTTTCACTAAGTTGGCTGGGCTGGTCTCGAACTCCTGGCTTCAAGTGATCCGCCTGACTCAGCCTCCTAAAGTGTTGGGATTACAGGCGTGAGCCCCCACACCCGGCCTGAATGAAACTTTTCATTGATGTGAAAATAGAGGTTGAAACTTCAATTCCAATGAGTATTCTTTCAATGTTGTTAGCATTTATTGGAGTCCCTCTTAGTGCATACTTCATCCAGGCCTTGTCTTATCTGTCCAGAACAGCTCACTGACCAGCATCCTATTTTTCATGGCTTCTTTGGATGGGTTTCTCTGTGTTTATTCCCATTGTTTTCTGTTTAGGAACAGTCTAGACAGGTAGTTTCTGACACCTCCTTCACCAGCCAGTGTCAGAAACTGATACTTAGTTTGGGCAGTATACATTTTAGGTGCACATACTTTCAGGGTACTTGGTCTGACCAGGATAAATCCTTACTTATCATCCTTTAGTTAAAAGACAGTTATTTGGCTGGATGCAGTGGCTCAAGCCTGTGATCTCAGAACTTTGGGTGGCCGAGGTGGGCAGATCACCTGAGGTCTAGAATTTGAGACCAGTCTGGCCAACAAGGTGAAACCCTGTCTCTACTAAAAACACAAAAATTAGTTGGGCATGGTGGCACGTGCCTGTAATCCCAGCTACTCTGAAGGCTCGGGCAGGAGAATCACTTGAACCCAGGAAGTGGAGGTTGCAGTGAGCTGAGATCACGCCACTGGACTCCAACCTGGGTGACAGAGTGAGACAGTGTCTCAAAAAAAAAACAAAAAAACCAAAAAAAAACAGTTATTTGCTCCTAAAAGATTCTGGCACATCAAAATTTTTATATTCTGCCAGATAACTTGGGGCTATTTAGTGCATGTGCAAGCAAGGAAGCAGAACCATTGTGCATCTGCATGGTGATTGTGATCTGACACTAAATTTGAACAACTTATTAAATATTAATGAATAGTGAACAGTAGACTGTTGAGCTGCCAAGTCATAGACACCATACAAGTGACCATTGCTTGAAGATGGCAAAAAAAATCTTTTAGAAATAGAGGAAAGGATATCACAGGTGGACTCCTTTGTTTGCTGAACTAAACTGTAAGAACTCTTTTGGATGCACTTCAAAAAAATCAGAGCATCATGCTGTACACTTTAAGTATATATAATAAAAACAAGTGGTTGCTAAGTGTTCTTTCCTTTCCTTTCTTCTGAATCAGTGGTAAGCAAGTGTTTTCTATAAAGGGTGAGATAGTAAATATTTTTCGGTTTTGTGGACCGTATGGTTTCTGTTGTAACTACTTAATTCTGCCATTGTTGTGTAAAAACAGCTATAGATAGTACATAAATAAAGTGACTGTGTGCCAATAAAATTTTATTTACAAAAACAGACAGCTGAATGGATTTAACCCACAAGCCATAGTGCTGATTCTTGCTCTAAATCAAAAGTTCTGGCTAACAACTAATTACGGAGCTAGCTTATTTGAGCGTAGCTTTAGAGAGTGAAAATGGTTCTTCCTGGTTTTAGGTTTTAGTGGTCCAAGACCTTTCTGGCGTAGGCTCTAACCCCTTTACCTTCGCTCGCAGAACCAGAGCTTTCTTCATCAAACCTCAAGACCTTCATTTGTTGCCTGGTGTCAAAGGGTATAGATTTGGCTAGGGAAGGGTAGAGTGAGAGTCTTTGCCTTTTCAGTCTCTCAAGTGACCAGAGTAACATTAAAAACAAGATAAATCCTTAAGCCAAACGATTTTTAGTTTTGGATAGATTATGGGACATTTTACCCCTTTGACTACATGATTTTGAGTGTACTTAGTATTTTATCTTTGGTTCAATCTGAATATAGGGTCCATTCAGCTTAGACACATCTTATTATGCCACCTTTCTCCTATTTCTTTGAAAGGGAAGTTGGCTGCCTTCTTTACTTAAGTTTTTACATTATTGAAGTTTCTTGGCTATATGTTAGAAGTTTTCCCTTTGTAGTATGAAAAAGAAGACAGCAATTGGTGTTTCCAACTATAGGGGTTTTTTGTTGTTGTTATTTATTTTATTTTTATTTTGAGACAGGGTCTGGCTCTGTTGCCCAAGCTGGATTGCAGTGGTACAGTCTTGGCTCACTGCAACATCTGCCATCTGAACTCAAGCCATCCTCCCACCTCAGCCTCCCAAATAGCTGGTACTACAGGCACACACAACCATGCCCACTAAGTTTTGTATTTTTTGTAGAGACGGAGTTTTGCCATGTTGGCCTGGCTGGTCTCAAACTCCTGAGCTCAAGCTATCCACCTGCCTTGGCCTCCCAAATTGCTGGGATTACAGGCATGAGCCACCGTGCCTGGCCTTGTTACTGTTTTTTAGATCATACTTTTATTTTGTTATTCATTGGTTCTTGCTTTGAGATGTGCAGGTTTTTTTTTTTTTTTTTTTTTTTTTCTTAGAAAAAGGCTAAAAGAGATTTTTTTTTTTTTTGAGACGGAGTCTGGCTCTGTCGCCCCTCAGCTCACTGCAAGCTCCGCCCCCCGGGTTTACGCCATTCTCCTGCCTCAGCCTCCCGAGTAGCTGGGACTACAGGCGCCCGCCGCCTCGCCCGGCTAGTTTTTTGTATTTTTTAGTAGAGACGGGGTTTCACCGTGTTCGCCAGGATGGTCTCGATCTCCTGACCTCGTGATCCACCCGTCTCGGCCTCCCAAAGTGCTGGGATTACAGGCTTGAGCCACCGCGCCCGGCCTAGCATAGATTTTTATTAGCTTGCTTCTAAAGAAATTCTTTCTACATGATAGATCATTTCATTTTGTTAAAAACATGATTTTCTTTGTCTCCTAAGGTCCATTCTCTTATGAACATGATGATTGAGGCTATAATTCCGTTTTCTTGCCTGAAATTTATAGGCTGGACATCTCTCCTAGTTATGTCTGCAATACTCTCTTGGTCTTTTATTTTCCTGTTAAGATCTCAATTTGGCCTAATTTCTACAACGGTCATTGTCAGTTTGACCATATTTCTTGCCCCTAGTCGGTGTCGCTGTAACATACTGGCCATTTTTTGTATCTTTGGGGAAACTCCAGTTCCTTTTTAGTGCATTTCTTCAAAGATATATCATTCAAAAGGTGTGAACTCTCCTCAAGGGTAGCGTAACCATTTTACTAATCGCTCTAAAATTTGAGCTTTATTGAGGCTTCATTGACATATAGTAGAATGCTTGTATTTAAAGTGTACAATTTGACTTTTACATCTGTGAAAACACCACAAACGAGATAATGCACATTCCTTCCACTACCCCTGAAATTTTCTCTTGCCTGTGTGTTTATCCCCCCTCTCTCCTCTCTTTATTTTCCCAGAGAATCACAAGCACCTGGCACATGGTGGTTAGTTATTTAATACTTATTTAAATGAAGGAGGGAATCTATGGCCGTTGTAGATTTGCAGTTTCTTTATTTTTCGACTTATTCTCTTTAAATATGGTTTCTTGTTTGCTCCTCAAAAGGCATAAAGGCATATGTGTGTGTGTGTTTGTGTGTGTGTGTGTATGTATGTATATGTAAATATATATATGTATATATATAAGTTTGTGTGTGTATTAATGTAGCTGGTGGTAAAGTTAGGGAGCTAGGTTTATGATCTCTCTAAAGATCACATGACTATCAGTGCTTGGGCTGGACAAAAGCCTTTCTAAGATGTTTGCATACAAGACTGCTTGTATTCTATTACAGCTGCCATTAGGGAAACATTTTGGATTTTCAAACTTACTGATTATTATTAGAGTCTCACTGTATATGAAGTAGTTTAACTGTTATTTAAAACACTAAGATTTTAAAAATAATTTTCAGCTGGGCATGGTGGCTCATGCCTGCAATCCCAGCACTTTGGGGAGGGTAAGACAGGAGGATCACTTGAGACTAGGAGTTTGAGACCAGCCTGGGCAACATAGTGAGACCCCATCTCTACAAAAAAGTTACCCAAGCGTGTTGGTGTGCATCTGTAGTCCTCGCAAATTGGGAAGCTGCGATGGGAAGATCACTTGAGCCCAGGAGTGTGAGGTTGCAGTGAGCTATGAATGCACCACTACACTCCAGCATGGGCAACAGAGCGAGACCCTGTCTCTAAAAATAATAATACATAAAAATAAATGAAAATAGTTTTCTAAACCTTCAATTGGCTACCTTTTCTTTCTGATGGATAAAATTAATTGGACTTACGGCACCTGAGATAGTAATAGACCACTCATGAGCCAGATTTTCTGTAATGAAAGATGCAAAGGTGATACCTGTTATAAATAAAAGTGCATAACTCTTGTTTCAGATTACTGCATTAAATTGCACCTAGAAAGAAAGTGGGTAGTTGACAGTAGTGGTCACTGATAGAATAGCCTTGATGGAGTAATGCTGTTAAATAAAATATAATGCTAGTGGTTCACATTTCAGCATACTGAAAATGTAAACTTAAAAGCAATGTGAATGAAGCACTTAAAAGATTTTAATCTAACTTGTTGCTATTCTGTTCTTTATGAGTTTTGTGTATGTAGCTTAATGGGTAATTACAAGCCAGCCAGTTTGTCAAAAATTATATTCAGTGTCTCTTTTGTCTTCTATGATAGAGTGTTAATTCATTTTTATTTAGTGATTTTTTTAATATTTAGTTAATGTAGGAGAAGTTACATGATTTGAGAATTTGCTAGATCTTACTTCCATAATATATCATCAGTGTTACAGCAGTGTGAAGGCATTTTTCACCTTTGTTCAGGCTTCATTGACATACAATAAAATGCACATATTTAAGGTGTGCACTTTGAGTTTTAACATACATATACATCTGTGACAACACCACAAACAAGATAGTGCAGATTTCTCCCATTCCCCCTCAATTTTCTTCTTCTTGGCTCACTGCAACCTCTGCCTTCTGGGCTCAAGTAATCCTTCCGCCTCAGCCTCCTGAGTAGCTGGGACTACAGGCATGTGCCACCATGCCTGGCTAATTTTTTGTAGTGACAGAGTTTTGCCATGTTGCTCAGGCTGGTCTCAAACACCTGGACTTAAGTGATCTACCCGCCTTGAACTTCCAAAATGCTGGGATTACAGGCGTGAGCTGCCGTGCCCGGCCTGATCTGCTTTTTGTTACTGTAGATTAATTTGCTTTTTCTAGAATTTGTCTATAAATGGACTCATACAGTGTGTACTGTTTTTGTCTGGCTTATTTCATTCAGCATAATTATTTTGTGATTCTTTGATACTGTTGCCTGTATCAATAGTTCTTCCCTTTTTATTGCTGAGTATGTCCACTGTACTTATCCTTACTCCACTTATCCTATACGGCAAGTTGTTTATCCATTTATATGTTGATGGACATTTGAGGAGTGTTGTATATTACAAATAAACCTGCTGTGAACATTTGCATACAAATCTTTGTATTGTCATAGACATTTATTTCTCTTGAGTAAATACCTAGGCTGGGTCATATGGTAGGTGTAAGTTCAAATTTTAAAGAAACTTGCCAATTTTACAAAGTGGTTGTACCATTTTACATTGCTATCAGCAGCATTTAAGGATCTTAATTGCTATTTTGGAATCACTTTTATATTCATAGGCCGTACTTTTTGGAAGTACAGGGGTAGATAAAAATATTTAGAAGTTTTCTTCCTAGAACTTCAGGGAAACGTCTTTTTGGAGAGTTTATGAAAATATGGAACTTTTTTTGAGTAAGACATGCTCACTGCCTTAGTCCTTTTCCTTAGTATGATGAGAAGCAGAAGAAAATGTGTTCTTAAGTTTGGATCTCATAAAAAGAGGGAAAACTTGCATTTGGAGGATTTGGTTTTCTAAGTGATTGCTAAGGTAGTATGAAACATGAAATGACATTAGTTTTATAGCATTTAATATGAATAAGTGTGGAGTTAATAGAAGTAACTGGAGATACCATCTTACAAAAGGGTTTGGACAGGAATAGGTTATATAAGAATTTTCTTGGAAAAATCCCCTAACTCATCCATAAGGTATAAGTGTTTAGATCTAACATACGTCCCTAAATTTATCACAGTTCTTTTCTCCTCCAGTATTAGAAGAAATCAGTGTTTATTTTTTGGCCCAGTGAAGTGGTTAGCTTGCATTTAGGGACTGTGTTTAATGAAATATACATATTTTAAAATACTAGAATCCCATTCAGCTTGATGAAAGGCATGTGGGAACTGACGTAAACCAGGAGCCTCCAACTCCCTTGGTATTCTTTGATCTATAAGTATCAATAGAATACCACTTTTCCCTTTAGAATGCTACTAAAAGCCATGGATATAAATCAGTGTTATATTTTATAGTTCTGTAGTATATGTAAGATAAAATAAAAAAATGATTTTAAAAATGATTGTCCACTTTTGTGAACCTGGACTTTTAACTGGTTATCAATATTCCAAATACTTCTGCCTAAAACATTAAAAAAAACCCCCTTTAGTTGCTTAATTTGTAAAATGCATTGTTTGATTTTCGTGTTTTTCCAAGAATTAATAATGTGGACCTGTTTCAGTAGCTCGAGTAATCAAGAACTGATGAGGCAAAGTGTGGCATAGAGGAATGTTTATTTGACTGGTATCACAGGTCCTGGACTATACCAACCCAGGTCTGTCGTTAACCCGTTCTGTGATTCTGGGAAAGTCACATTCTCATCTGCAAAAATGTGTAGCGGATTTATTTCCCTCTGGGAGAGGGGAAGCAAATTTGTAAAGGAAGTTGTTTTTAAAATCATTTTTATCTTGCTATATGAGTTATCCCTGAAAGTTAATGGCTTCACTAGAAATGATGTATAATCATTTTTAAATTTTTGTATGTCTCATCTGTTGCAGGATGCTTTAATCTGGATCCCAATAGAGTTTTGGATGTCATTTTAGAAGTGTTTGAATGCAGGCCAGAACACGACGACTTCTTTATATCTTTGTTAGAATCTTACATGAGTATGTGTGAACCGCAAACACTGTGTCATATTCTTGGGTTCAAATTCAAGTTTTACCAGGTAAAGAAAAACGTGTATGTATGTATATTTAGAGATTAATTTCTTAATCTTGTTTGTATAATTTAATTTGTTTTATTTGTAAATGATTGGTCTCATCTCAGACATTCTAGCAGAAGAGATAGATAAATGGATAGCTAACAATGCAATGAGATAAGTACTATATTGGTAGTATGAATGATGTTATGTGAAAGCCTAGAGGAAAGCATTATTAAGTTTTGCCTTGGGAGAGGTGGAGTCAGGGAAGACTTTGTAGATGTATCTTTTTTTAAACCTGGTCCTTGAAGGATGAATAGGAGTTCATTAAGATTTTCTCTGCGTAAGTAACAAACAATGGGAGAATAAAGATGTGGCAGTGTGAATATATTTAAGAGATAGAAGGAATGGTTCATAGTCTAATGTGGCTGGGTTGTAAGATGGGAAAAGAAGGGACAGGAAATGAAATTGGGAAGGTATGTGTACTTTGGATGGTCACAGACTTTGAATACTGTGTTAAGAGTTAGAATCTTATTTTTATTTAATTATTTTTTATTTTGAGATGGGATCTCACCCAGACTAGTCTCAAACTCCTGGGCCGAAGTTATCCTCCCACCTCAGCCTCCCAGGTAGCTGGGACTTACAGGCATGTGCCACTGTGCTTAGGTCAAGAATTTTATTTTATAAACAATGGCTATTGGAATTTTTTAGGGACATGAATAAATATTCAAGGCACATCTTGTATCATTTGCTTAAGCCACAAAAATAACTGTCAAGCTAATCTGTGTCTCTGATTATTTCTACTTCAATCCATCTTTCATATTATTGTTACTGTTGCTTTCTAAAAGAGACCTAACTGAGGCACTTCACTGGTCAAAAACCTTTACTTGTAGGATGAAATTCAAACTTCTAAGTGTGGCAGAAATAGCTCTTCACAATTTGGCATTGTTCTTTCTGGCCTTATCTTTATAGTTATTTTTTTTTTCTTAAATCTAATATTCTAGTCATATTAAGTGACTAGCCATTTCTTGAACTTAGATATAGATATTGCTGTGAACCTTTATTCCTGTAGTTCTTTATAACTAAAAAACTATTCTTACCCAACCCTCTCACTTCTCCTTTCTTCATCTTGTGAACTCCTATTTATTCTTTAAGAGCAAATGCTGCTTGCTCTGTAAAGGCTTAGCTGACTCTTTACCCATGCAGAATTAGTCACTTCTTAATCTGTATTCTCGTAAAACTTGACACATAACTTCTAACACCCATCAGATTATCTTAGAATAAATTGTATCTATCTCCTTTGCCAGATTGTAAACCATATAGGGCAGGTTCTATGTTTTACTAATTCCTATGAATTAGTTTGTTGCCTAGCCTATAGTAAATGCTCACTAATTATAAATGAGTGATCTATGTTTTAGGAAGACAATTCTCTTGATAGCATGGAGGATTTTAATGTAATAAGGCCTCCATTTACCTTTTGGTATAACTCTGCTAATTTGTTTACTTGCCTGGGATAGTCAGCTAGTCAGAAAGCATTCATTGAATGTTTATGATTATGCTCTTTGCTAGGCACTGAGGTTACTCTGGTGTAGAGGAGTGTCTGTTTCTGTACTCTTGGAGTGTGAGGTCAGGTTAATAAGATAATTCCTTTTAGTATTCTTAAATGATATAGTACCTACTGCCTTTGCTCATCTTTTATTTTCTATGATCTGGGATGCTGCAGCAGACAGAAGAGAAAGCAGACAAGAGTTTAAAAGCATATAGCTTTTCAATACCAAACAAGAGACATGGTAGGGTTTTTGGGCAGGAGCACAATACCTTTGTTCAAAAATGAGCAGTGGAGGCTGGGTGCAGTGGCTTGTGCCTGTAATCCCAGCACTTTGGGAGGTTGAGGCAGGCAGATCACCTGAGGTCAGGAGTTTGAGACCAGCCTGGCCAACATGGCAAAAACCTGCCTCTGCTAAAAATATAAAAAAAAATTAGCTGGGCGTGGTGGCGGGTGCCTGTAATCCCAGCTACTCTGGAGGCTGAGGCAGGAGAATCTTTTGAACCTGGGAGGCGGAGCTTGCCATGAGCGGAGATCGTGCCACTGCACTCCAGCCTGGGCAATAAAAGCGAAACTCCGTCTCAGAATGTTCACTATTGGTATTGGGAAAGAGATTCAAGCATTCTATCAGATTTTAAGAGCCACCGTGATTGCTTTGGGCTTGAGTACATGAAGCCAACTGCTTTAGTGACAGGTTGGCTGAAATTTAACTTGTGCATGATTAATTAAAATATAAATTAGGGCTTTGGAGACTGTAGGTTTGAGAGCATATGACAGTGAATAATGATGACCTACTACATAACATCAAGTTAGTTGAATGTAAGTTTTAGAATTAAAATCTTTTTGTATAAAAACATTCCTTATAAATAATATAACTTTTTTGAGCTGAATTAAAATATACCCAGGGAGGTTGACAGTATTTGAATAATCCTTTTTTTTTTTTTTTTGTAGACAATGACCATTTTTCTTATATAAGAAATGCTCAGCCAAGTAATACTTAGTTTAGAAATAACTTGTTCTTGGAATGACTAACCCTCATATTGCTCTATGTAATACCATCCCTTTGTTTCTATTGTTAGAACTGTCTTATGGGCCGGGCGTGGTGGCTCACGCCTGTAATCCCAGCATTTTGGGAGGGCGAGGCAGGTGGATCACCAGAGGTCAGGAGTTTGAGACCAGCCTGAACAACATGGAGAAACCCCGTGTCTACTAAAAATGCAAAATTAGCCGAGCATGGTGGTGCATGCCTGTAATCCCACCTACTTGCGAAGCTGAGGCAGGAGAATTACTTGAACCCAGGAGGTGGAGGTAGTGGTGAGCCGAGATCGCGCCATTGCACTCCAGCCTGGGCAACAAGAGCGAAACTCTGTCTTTTAAAAAAAAAAAAGTCTTGTCATTGTGAGAATCTGCATTCTTAAGGGCCATGGAGGGTAGGGGAAGAAATGTCAGATATTTTTGAAAAGTTGTGGCCTTGAAGGTAAAGTAAGGAAAGCTGTGAAAATCAGGAACTGCTTAGGTGATGTAACCTTGAGAGTTGGCTCCCAAGCATGTATGACCAATCTGTGTATTGGTCCCTGGCGTAATTCCACCATCCCCCTTTCCCATCACTACCGGAAAATGTTCACAATCCCTTTCTCCAAGTCATATTTTGACCAGCTGGGTCTTATTTGGATTAATAGGCTTCTTTTTTCCCCCCTTAATGCTAGTATTACACTATGGTATCAACGACAGTGAGAGGTTGAGCATCCCAAATCCACAAAGCTCCAAAATCCAAAACTTTTTGAGCACTGAATGATGTTCAAAGGAGTTGATTGGAGCATTTTGGATTTTGGGTTTTCAGATTTGGGATGCTTAACCAGTATGCAAATATTCCAAAAGCTGAAAAAAAAAAAAATTCCCAAATCTAAAACACTTCTGGTCCCAGGCATTTTAGATGAGGGATACTCTACTTGTACAGTAGAGGACTTGGGGACAGCATGAGAGACAGCACAGGAAGGGAGTACAAGAAAGTGTGAAGGTACCAGAAGACAAACTTGTCTGGATTGTCGTTACAGGAAAGGAGGAGGAGGTGATAGGTCTCATCTGTATTGCCCTTTGATTTCTGGATTCAAAACACAGTAATAGTAATGGTAGTACCATGGTTCAGCCCTATTATACATACCCAAATTCATTCATTTAAGAAATAGAGATTGAGCATCTATATTTGTGCAAGGTAGAATACTAGGTACTAAGGCTTCATCTGTAAACAGAAATTCTTACTTTTTTGATGTTTACATTCTGAGTAAATTATATGTTAGAAAATAATTAATGAGATGGGGAAAAATAGAGAGCAAGATAAGATCAGGAGTGGTAGGTTGCAGTTTTAACTAGAATAGTGAGAATACTCATTGAAAAGGTGAGATTTAAGCAAAGACATGAAGAATATGAGGATGTAAACTGTGTAGATGTCTGAGGAAGAGCCTCTAGGCTAAGGGAACAGTCACTGCAGTGGCCCTAAGGTGTCAGCATGCCTGACATGTTGAAGAAAAGTAAGGAGGTCAGTGTGGATGTATCAGAGTGATTGAGTAGAACAGTAGAAGATGAGGTCAGAGATGCGGGGGATGAGATCACAGAGTCAGTGCAAGGTTTTTGATTTTGATACTGTGTGAAGCCAGTGGAGGGTTTTGAGTAGGGTAGTGATGTGATCTAACTTAGCTTTACGTTTTGTTTCTCTCTTATTTTATTGTGAACATTTTCAAATGTAGAAAAGAGTGAATAGTATAATGAATACTTATAACCCCATTGTTTACAATTGAGTTTATTAACATGTTGCCATATTAAAAATTTTAATTTATGTTACAAATATCATGAAAGCTTCTTCCTAAATACTATAGTTTACAGTTTTTAAAAGGAAGGGCATTTTCCTTTTTTTTCTTTTTTTGAGATGGAGTTTTTCTCCTGTTGCCCAGGCTGGAGCGCAATGGTACGATCTCAGCTCACTGCAACCTCCGTCTCCTGGGCTTAAGCGATTCTCCTGACCCAGCCTCCTGAGTAGCTGGGATTACAGGCGCCTGCCACCATGCCTGGCTAATTTTGTGTTTTTAGTAGAGATGGGGTTTCTCCACATTGGTCAGGCTGGTCTCGAACTCCTGACCTCAGGTGATCCTCCAGGATCAATTTCATAACATAGCTAGATTACTGTCATATAATAAACCTAGACTGTATTCATATTTTCCAAATTGTCCCCAAAATGCATTTTACAACTGGTCTGTTCAAATAATGATCTAATCAAAGACCACATGTTGTATTTGATTGTCAAGATTCTCCTTCTCTTTTAATTTAGAATAGTTCCCCACCTTCTCCATTTTTTCATGGCGTCGACTTATTGATGAGACCATTCCTAGAAGACCCTATCTTTTGGATTTATCTAATTGCTTTTTCATCTTATTTGTTCTTTATTTCCTGTATTTGTTATATACTTGGAGTGAGGTCTAAAGACTTG